ATAAAGTGATTGAGAATGAAAGGTGTAATATAAAAGAACAGAAGAACCTGCTAGGAACACCAATAACCAAGCACACTGAATCTTTGATGACCGTTCCTGAAAAAGAAACAATTCTGTAATTTATTTGTGTTGGGCAAGAATTATTAGTACTATTAAATATCATTTTAACTTGATGACCAATGTATTACCTTAGAATGTTTTTTAGATTATTCTTAATAAAATAAAGACTACCTGCTTAATTGTTCATTATCATGACTTTTTTTTTTTTTTTAATTAGTCCTTAGCAAAACAGACCTCTAAACAAAATTTCAAAATACAAGCTGGTCGTAGTGGCACATGCCTTTTATCAATCCCAGCACTTGAAGGCAGATGTCTGTGAGTTTAAGGCCTACACAGTTTGAAGTCTACCCAGAGTTCCAGGACAGCCAAGACCACGTAGAGAGATCCTGTTTCAAACCATCACTCCCACAAAGAATCTAAAAACACAAGACCTAGAAGGCAAAGAAGCAAATCTCCACACCGACATAAAGGACCTACCCAAAGCAATCCTCACCTCTGCTGCTATTTTTTTTCTCTTCCACATAACAGAAAATTTTTAAAAATGCATGTAAGTAAATCAGTTCATAAATGTGCAGTAATTTTGATCTTTGAAATTCAAGTTTTACTAGTTTAATTCAGAGTTTTGCAGTTGAGCATCCTAATCCAAAAACTGGACAACTTTTTAAGCACTAACATGATGTATATATACATCTTTTTCTTTGTTTTTTTGAGACAGTCTGTAACCCTGGCTGTCCTGGAACTTGCTTTGCAGACCAGACTGGCCTTGAACTCAGATTCACCTGCCTCTGCCTCCTAAGTGCTAGGACTAAAAGTGTGTGCCACCATGACCAACCTTGTACTAATATTTTTTAAAATTTACTTATGTATGGAGCCACCACACAGAAAATCTGATAACTATACAGACTCTGACGACAGGAACCAACTGTTTTGATGTATATGACTGTCTGGTTGCACTGTACAACTAACAAATGCAATCAATACCAGAACAGTCACATTTGTACTAATATTTTTGCTATTTGTTTGTTTTCTTTTCTAAAGACAGGGTCTCACTTTGTAGCACAGGCTGAACTGGAACTCACTACATAATCCAGACTGACTCTGAATTCATGGCACTCCTCCTGCCTCAGCTTCTCCAGTGCTGGGGTTACATGCACACACCACCATGCCCAGAATTAACCCATGCTAGTTTTAAACTATACACTAAATTTTTGTTAATAGGTTATACTATCGATTCCCAGATATGAGCCGGGTGTTGGTGGCACAAGCCTTTAGTCCTAGCACTTTAGGAGGCAGAGGCAGATGGCTCTCTGAGTTCCAGGCCAGTCTGGACTACAGAGCTAGTACCAGGACAGCAAGGGCTGTTACACAGAGAAACCCTATGGGGGGCGGGGGCACACAAAACAAATGAACAAACAAACAAACAAAAAATCCCAGATATGGCCACTTCTTAGAAAGTGCTCTTAAGGTGAAATTGTATAGACTCTTGGATTTTTTCTAATGATTTACATGATTAAAACTTTTATATTACTAGAAAAATTAAGGTTTTTGTTTTAAATAAGAGACACCTGACGTTCATGGTAGGACATGCATTTAATCCCAGCACTTAGGAGGCAGAGGCAGGTGGATCTCTGAGTTTGAGGCCATCCTGGTCTACACAGTAAGTTCCAGGACAGCCAGAGCTACATAGTGAGACCCTGTCTCAGACAGACACCTAAAACACCCAATGCCCATTTATTCAATGCTCCACTTTGAGTCTTATGGTGCATCAACTAAAGTTTTTGATAATATTACACTACTTAATATGTTCCAATTAACTCATAAAGTACAAAGGCCCTTGCCAAACTAGATCAATTAATGTGGTCTAAGTCTTTTAATCCTCTTGTTTGTGTTTTCTTTATTAGGAAAGAAACAACAAAAGGAGAGGTAACTAAGCATCAGGTCAGGTAACTTATTCCAAGTCATTTAGAAAACAAAATGAAGCATATGGTGGATATCACAACTTATCATGTTGCTTTCTAGTCCTCTTGAAAGTTATTTCTATTTCTCTCAAAGTTATCTCTAATTCTGTAGAGAGAAACAGTTAATAATTTAGTTGCTTGTTATACTTACTCTTAGAAAAACCTGATTTACAATGCTTTTGTTTGCATACATAAAAGTTGTTAGCAGCCCAATTCCAAGAGAAATTCCTGTTAGAAAATAAGTTCTAGTTAATTGAAAGAAAAGAAAAAAAAACAAGATTATATATGCTAATAATATAAATTAAAACATAAATTTAAAAGCTAGCAACCAAAATACATAGGTTAAAATTATCAGTAAAAAGAGAAACTGAATTCAGTAATTTAGTCAATGTTTTATCATTTCCTACCTGTTATATGCTGCATAACAAGTTTAATACCCAGAATCAAAATATAAGGAAGACTTTTCTGCAACCACTTGAAGAGATAGCGGAATTCTGAGAAGGAGCCATTTCCATGATCTCCAGACTCTGTGGCAAAGTCATCAGGTGGCCTTGCTTCACTGTAGGAGTGACTCCGGAAATGACTGTGTGCACACCCGTGGGCACAGCTACAGACACCTGACCTTGTATTTCTAGAGCTCGGATTTTCAGGATGGTCTTTAGGTCCAGAGTTTATTTGGATATGTACATCTCCAGGATGAAAACCTTCTGTCACTCTTGATGGGTGAACACACTGGGAGCCTGAGGCATCACCATCACTTGAAGTGCCTGGAGGATCATGCAGTTGGTTACAGCTGGCTTGCATGGCCCTTAAATATTTTCTCTCTTAGATGTCTTTGCTTCAGGACTCTTTCTCCTTAAAAATAAAATTGAAGAGCAGGAAGCATTCTAAGTTAACAGTTAATCACAAGCAGTGTATTATTGTTCATTAGATGTCCTTTATTCACTAAAGGAATATCTGATAGTCACAGATGGACATTCAGGTCTGATATCATACCACTCCTTCAATCTCTGCTGTCAAGGCTATGCTGCCCCTACCCAAAGTCAGTAAGTTTTTTTTAACTTATTTAGGGGTTACTTAAAATACAAAGGATACTTAATGGACATCTGCTTTTGAACTGCAGATGTCTTGACTTCTCTAATACCAAAAGACATCAGCAAACAGTCAAAGAATGGGTGCCCAACAGATAACCACTATGAGTAGCAGCACTCATACTGAATAATGTAGGCACATGTACTCTGAGGTAGAGTCCACATTAAGAAGTTTGCTAAGGGTAGGTGGGATGGGTCAGAGAGGAAAGGTACCTCCAGCCTAGTCAAGCCTGCTGATCTGAGTTAAACCTATATGATAAAAGGAACGAAGCGACTTCCACAAGTTGTCCTCTGACACACACACACACACACACCCTAAATAAATGTAATGAATTTTTAAAAGATTAGAAGGAAATGCTTAGAAGGAAAAAATCAGTGCCTTATTAAGCATCAAAAGATAAACATTTCATTTGGGTGACCTACACATTCATTTTATGCTGAAAAAAGACTCCGCAAAGCCACGAAGGTTTTCGGTAATTAATAGTGTTGTTACTCCCCCCAGAAGAATGTTACTCAAATACCTTTGAAATGGGGTCCTTAGGGGGAGTCACCTAATTGCTAAGCGATGCTTTAGCCTGAGTAAGGAGTTAGCTTCTCCAATAAAAATGCCACCTTGGGCGGTGTGTGGCGGGGGAAGGGGCGTCAGAAGGGAGGCTGTGGGCAGGGCAAGATCCCTACGTGATCCAGGGAGGATCTCGGACGAGGGTGCCAGAGTCGCACTCTCGCCTGACGCAGAGCCCACATCGCCGGGCCTCTCCCGTTTCCCCCAGCGAGGGAGCAAGCTGCAGCCGGGGCTTGCTCGGGAGCCGTGCAGTTACTGTGTGACGTTTCGGCGAGGCTCCGAAGCCTCGCCTCGGCGGCTGTATCTCCTCACCCTATGAAGAACGACTTGGGACAGGGCAGCTAAAAGCTTTCAAAAAAACAAACAAACAAAAAAAAAAAAACCAACTGCCTTCCTGCCCTCCTTCATACATAAACAAGAGAAGGGAAAAGGAAGAAAGAAAAGTAAACGCCAACTCTTCCGGAATCTGCGAAGACCGAGTTCTCCACCCACGTCCGAACCTCGGCTCTTCTCCCCAGAAACCCTCCGCCTCACCGCCCTTCCTCAGGCCTGACCTCTCATGACCAGGAGCGGGT